TAAAGTAGTATGTATTTGTTTATTTTGAGAGAGAATAAGAAACAAAAGTCTCTGTCCCTTCACTGACAAGAAATCCCTGCTGTTAACATGTCGGCTTATGAATTCTCAACACGTAATTCATATATGTGTGTGTGTGTATGTATGCATATGAAATTATATGTAAGTATACAAATATATTTATGTAAGTATATAATTTTTCACATATATAGAAAAAGTTGATCATACCACAAATATAATCTTATAGTCTTTTCTTTCACATGTAACATTAAAAGTCTGACTATTTTCCAGCACCTTTAACTATTCTAAAGGAAACTAAGGGCTCTACAAATTTCAAAATTATGGAATAATATTAAACAGCTTCTTTATTTTTGCATTTTCTGCTTAGTAATAAAGTGTGCCTGTTGCAAGTAAAGATTCTTCTCCTGGGACTAAAGACTGTTCACCTGGTAAGGGCGCTCGCTGCTCTCACAGGAAGGAGACCAGGGTTCAGTTCCCAGCATTCACATAACAACAGCTCACCACCCCACCCCCAGCTGCAATTCCAGGGCTCTCAATACTCTTTTCTGGCATGCGTGGGTGCTGCACACGGGTGCTTCACCTCTGTCCATACATGCAGGCAAAATACAAACAAAAAAATAAAAAGTAATTCCTTAAAAAGAAGTCTGCATACAATGTCTGAAAGTGATTATTTCCTTGAAATATATTTCTAATTTAGACTTTTAGCATAATAAAATAACCTAATTCTTTTTCTTTTCTTTCTTTTCTTTTTTCCTGGTGTTGATCATGCACTCTAGAGCCTTGCACCTGCCAGGCAAATGCTCTACCACTGAAGGCTGTAAGTAATTTCATGAAGTGCTTTCCGCAGCCTTACTAATCCAAACAGCCTCCAAACCAAAGCGGGCACCGCAGCACAAGCTTGGGCCACACTCTTTAAGATTCCTGAGTGGCTTAGCCAGGCTAGTCTCTGCTGTCTCTATCCTGGGCTGACGATTTTGAGCAGATGACCCCACTAGAGGGTAACTAGGTCCTTGTTTTGTTTTTCAGCACAATCTCTATTACAGTAGAAAAATTATGGGGAAATGAAAAATGATGTAATAAGGGGGAAACAATAGGCAATAAATATATAACAATAAAATTAGGTATCATACCCATTCCTGTATACCCAGTACAGGAAGCTGAGACAAGATCGCCAGTTTGGGCTACAGAGCGAGACCCTGACTAAAAAAATAAAAATAAAAAACGAAAAGGTGATTACAATAATAAGTGAAAGCTCTTTGTATAAACTATTTCCATTTCCTCAGAGATATTATCCCAAAGGCGAAGAATTCTATGATGTCCACTCAGATCTGAAACAAGAAAGGACCAGGAATCTAGGTTACACACAAATCTGGGCTTGGGTTGCGTTTTCCACTGTCTTTGAGCGGCTGCAGTCCTGACCTGTGGACAGCTGGCACCGCCCTCCGCGCTCCACTCTTTCACTTATCTCACGTGACTGCAAACGGAACCTTCCCAGAACTGGGTGTGAGCATCTAATACGGTAATGCGCATCGGTGTCCTGACGTACAGTAAGTGTTCAGTAGAAGCGGGCTGCCGTTACTGCGCTGCCTCGGCTTCCTTCCCAGCTAGTCGGTGTTTCTAGCTCTTAGCTGCTCCTCCACCTAGCTATTCCACCATCACCACAAACTCCATAATCTCTGATCAACCCCTCCCTCCCCCAGTCACTCCCTGGCTCAGAGCTACTTGTGATGGGTGTTCTGTGGACCATAAGTCACACCATCACACTCGCCCCTCTCTTCCCCTAGCCATGCCTAAGTAGTTTTCAGAGTGGGTCAATTTGCTCCCTAATGGACTTTTCATTTGCTTCAGAACCCAGGCCCCAGGGATCTGCTCTCCCTACCCTAGCAAGCCCTGCTTCAAGTCTTATCTATGCCATTGATCTGTCCAACATCTCTCAGTGTCCCCTGACATCTTTCAGGCATGCTATCCCTCAGTCGGCGTCAGTCCCATGGCAGTGTGGCCTCACCCTCTCAGGTATTCTCCCTGGTCCCACATACTCCATTCTCTGTTTTTGTCAAGCTGTGACTACGCTTCCTGATTGGGTTGCTAGAGAGCAGAATTAAAAAAAAAAAAAATCTAATTAAATATGATTTCAGGTGAGAGGGTAATTGTTTTATAAACATGAGCCATTCAATTGTCCCTGTGCAAGCCCAAGCAATAGGACATAGATATTAGAATGTGCTTTTTTTTTTTTTTTAACCAGAAATTTACACATCAGTAGACAACTTTCATTTTCTGTAACAACCTTGTTCCCCGAGTGGGCCATGTTCATTTCCGTCTCTGTCCAGGCTCAGGGCTTCTTTCCTACAGTGGATGTTCTCACCTCTTCTGTTCTCATATCTTTGCTCTCCAGGAACCAACTCAACTCTTCATGTCTCCATCAAGCCTCACTGACTGAGGTCCTCCTTACCTTCTACATCTTATCTCCTTCATCATATATATCATTAGTTGGTTCGATATGGAGAATTCCTGTGTTTTATTTGATTCTCTTTCTTTAACTTGGTGTTGAGTGGGCCAAGATATGACAGGATTTTACAGCTAGGAGAACTTGCTGTGCTTTGGTGGGGTGATGCTGCTTTCTAGCTTAGATCGCAGAGTTTGAGGGACGACAATGGGAATCTGCCAAGACCCTTCATCGGGCAGACCCAAAGCATAGCACACCCTGTCCTCTGCCCAACTTCAGGCCAGATGGGGGCTGGGTGTGGCTTCCTGACCTCTGCCTGCTTCACCACACACCCTCTTTTACTCCTCCCATATGTTGAAGATTATACTTGTTTACATCAAAATCACTGCAGTTTCACATGATCGTTTGACCCTGCTTGAGGCCCAGGGCGGCTATTGTATATAACCTGTAAACACACAGTAATTGTAGGTGTTATGTTAGAGGTGGTTAATACAAAAGTGAAAAATTACTGACAAACGTTTTTCTAAATTACCTAACTTAAAATGCTCTCAAAAACCTGAAAATACCCCAAATAATCTATAAAGCTATTAAGCAATTCACAGGAAATGCATTTGAAATAACTGGAATCTCATGAATATATTTATTAAACTGGGAAGCCAGAAACCAGGAGCAAGCAACAAGTCTTGAAATAGAAAACATACATTTATAAAATAAAACCCAGAACTCATCATTTTTATCTACTGCTGAAAACCTGATTCATCTTAAACCTTAATTCTCATAAGATAAGCATCTGAGTGTGTTCACTGTAAAAGTGTCTTTTTCTTTTTCGTGTGTGTGTGTGTGTGTGTGTGTGTGTGTGTGTGTGTGTGTGTGTGGTGTGCGTGTGGGTATAAAGATGTGCAATTCACATGGGAGGCTTCCTCTCGTGTAGTGAGGCAAGGCTCATCTGATGAAGCCAGAGTTTGCCAACCTGGCAAACTAGCCCGTCCGGCATTCACGTGAGTGCTGGGGGTTGAAACTTCCATCTTCTTACTTGCTGCCTATTTGGCAAGCACTTTAATCAAACCATCAGCTCAGCTGGCAAAAGTGCTCTAGAGATTTTGGGAGGGACAAGTTCAGCAGCAGGAGATGTGGGTTATTGAGAGCTAGATCTCAGTCCCTGTCACATGTATGACGACTCAGTAGAACAAGACAGATTCAGAACTGACCTGAGAGTATTGTGGTGCCCTGAAAAATCAATATGGAGAGTGGCTTGTTCAGCTCTCTCATACTTATCTAGAGCCATTGTGTTTCCCTTTGTCTTTTCAAAACTTCAGTACAGGCAAGAAATCATTCTTTTTTCTATTAAAAAAATTATCTCTGTGAACCATTTCAGTGGGACAGCTTACAAATTTCTAGTCAGTAAAAAAACAAACAAAATAAGAACCACAACAACAACAACAACAACAAAAAACCAACCACAACAATAACAAGCACTTAAAATCTTTCAGCGTGGAAAAGAGCCCAAGAGAGCTCCCCTGATCTAGAAAGGGCACCTCACCAGCTCTGGCAAACTCTTGGTTCTGCTTTTAGCCTTGCTGTCTGTCTTCTTGCTGCAGATTCTAAATACACCGGTCTCTCACAGGAAGGACCAGAAAGAGCAGCAAACTGCTTTTCTTCTCAACAGCCCGCAGAGCCCACTCCTTTGTCGGTCACTGTGCCGACATCAGTGAGCATCTCTGCCACACAAAGGTGGGTGTTATCTGCCTTGGAAGCACACGGGCTCATCATTTAAACAAACACTCACTTAGCGGCTAGGAATGCCCTTGAGAGCGTCCCTGGGATTTTGTGAGCAGCACGAATTGATCTTGGGTTCATTTAGCTGACCTCCCACCTCTCCATTTCTAAGTGCAGGAATGTTTTTGAAGACACTCAAAATACGTGCATCAGGAATGGTTTGGGAAATAAATAATAATTTAAATGTAAATAATTACTATGAATGGTTCTTATCACAGCAAAAGTTCAGTGCTGGGCTATTTTTTTTATCTTCTGGAGGGTTTGTGATTGCTTAAAAATGACTGATCAAGAAAGGAAAGGTGGTACCAGACTAATTTTTATCTTCATAATTTTATACAAAACTTAAATTTCGGTAAAATAACTCGAGCAACAGTCTGGTTGTGTTTAAAGACACTCTTATTAAGTATATTCTAAGCCAGTATTGATGATAGAAATGGCAGATGGGTTATTGATCAGCACAACAAAGAACACAACTAGTATCAGGCAGATGTTTAAGAAAAAAAAAAAAAAGACCATCAATGAGATTAGAGATGATGCTGAAATGAGAGGAATTTACCACAAGGGAACAACTACTGTAAAGTACACATTTACTCTTAGGAGCTCAGGGGAAGCCCGTGTGTGAGGCAGCTGGCTGTCTACTCTTTGAGAGACACAAACAAAGCTCACCCAGTATTTTCAGGAGGACCTGCCCTCAGATCACAGGTGCTGCCGGTGGCCAACATGCAAAGCCAATGAAGGAGGCAAACGTAGAACTGAGGCGTACCTGAATTCGCAGTCACCGCAGTCAGATAGTCAATAGAAGTCCAGGCAGTAGTGAGTCAGCCTTCTTTCCTCAGGGTCTTCAAAGTGTCTTTTCAGTGTGCCGGAACACCTGGAGATTGCTGTTCTCTCCTTGAAAAAGCTGTCATCACCTCCATGGCTCAAGTACAGTCCCAAAGTGAAGAGTCAAAAAGAAAGAAAGAAATTTGCAAGCCAACTATGCCCAGCAACCGCTACTATGAAGGGGCTAGGCTTTGGGCTCAAAGGAGTAAAGCAGGCCCACTTCCTCCTATTCTTTCCCGACTTAGTTTTCCGGCCTCCAGTGGAGCGTTGTTGTTTTTCCCCTTTCCTGGGCTATAAATAAGCTGCTGGTGTGAGTACTGAGGAAAGAAGAGGCAGGAAATGTATTTGATTTCAAAAGGCAGTCAGAGATGTGTGTGTGTGTGTGTGTGTGTGTGTGTGTGTGTGTGTGTGTTCCTTTCAACTCTACACCAGCAAACATGCTGAAGAAAATTTGGCCTAATTCAACTTTGGTGTGAACCTGAGAGTTTCAACTTACTGTTGCTAAGTCTCTGCTTGACTAGCAGTTGTCACTTCCCATCAGCAATTCGTGCATTTGGACATACATAGTTTTCTTCATCTAACTACCCTGAGCAGATCTACACTGCAGCGTTTATTTCCTCTAAGATGAATTCCTAGTGGAAATGACTGGGGCCAGGAGGAAGACCCTGCTTCTGTTCTGTTCTTTTGCTTTACTTTCCTTCTCAGACCATTTGGACGATGTCCTGTTACAGAACCCAAGCTAGCCTCAAACCTATGATCCCCCTGCCTCGGCGTCTCGAATACAAGAATTACAAAGCATGCACCATCATGTCAGACTTGTTGTTTTCTTTCACTGAAAAAGATGTTGAGACTGGAAAGATGACTCATCAAGTTAAGAACACTTGTTAGCAATTATGGGGACTAGAACTTTTTCTCCAGCACCCACATAAGAAATCCAGCATTCCATAAATCCCTACAACTCCAACTCTGAGAGATCTGACACACTCTTCTGGAAGCTGTGCACAAAGTGACCCCATATATATATATACACACACACACATATATATATTTAAAGATTTATTTTATTTTTTTATTAAATGTATGTGGCCTGTATGCACACGAGTGCCGACACCATTGTAGATTAGAGGTGTCAGCTTCAATGAAACTGGAGTTGTCTGGCATGGATGCTGGGAACTAAATTCAGATCCCCTGCAAGAGCAGGGTGAGCTCTTAATCACGAAAGCCATCTCTCTAACCCTGGTCTATATTCTTTTGTTGACAGTTCTTAGCTTCTTTCCAAAAATTCAGTTCACATATCCCAACACGGTAATGAGATTTCATTTATTCTGTAGAGTGAGAGGTAAGTCAGGAAAAACTATTTCGTTTTTAGCATATGTACACTGTAGTTTTTAAATTATTATAACTGCATATGCTATACTTCAAATATTTTAGCACTGAGAAAGTAGCATAATGATAGAGCACTTGCTTAGCATGCTCAAGGTCCTAGGTTCAATCCCCAGCACTGTAAAAGTGCTAAAGGTAAAAGATAAAACTTTATTCAGTTAAAAGAGAATTTGGAACACTGTACCTAACCCTCAAAGAACTTCACAAGATTCTATGACATGCCCATTTATTACCCACCTATCATTGTCTATCCATCTATCTCTGTACCTTTCTACACTTAACTACCTAACAAGAAGCTGCTCTTGACATAGGAGTCACATAGAGGCAATACAGCACTGCCTCGCCTGTTGGAGGAGCCATTCAAAGAAGAGTGAAGGACCCATCACACCAGTGACACATACATCAGGAGTTCTAGGCACTAGTCACACACAATTAATATCAGGCAGTTCTCTACGAAATGATTTTCTGGCTTGCATGTTAACATCTTACCTTCTAAAGGGAATTTTCAATTTCCAGTGTAAGAATAAAACATTGAATGTTGGTTATATTGGCCACTCTCATTCAGAAGATTGGACCTACTTTTGCATGTAATGTTAAGACACTAACTCTGAGTTACTTCAGAAAAGTTATCTGGAGCGTCGGCGGCCTGTCTGGAGAACTAATGAGCAACCTTCTTTGGTTGTCTTGGTTTTCTGTTAAGTGAATGAAACAGCATAGATCTTACTGCAGTCACCTAAAAAATATTTCAGTACCTACAGTATAGAAGAAACCCAAATCAATGACCTCAAAGGAAACAAATGAAAAGGTCTAGATGTAGCTGAGCATGCAGCATGTATCTGAGCCTTAATTAGATGCTTTTGGTAGCAGCCCATCTTTGTTTACACAGAGCAGATGCTCTGGGCCACTATTGATTTGTGTCCTCTCACTCAACTGTTTTGTCATAGTAATGAGATACACAAGCACTTCTGAGCAGAAGGCTGAAAAGGATACAGGCTTTCCATGGTTCTTTACATAAAATGAAAGAAGATGGCTAAAGGTTAGGAGGTCTCCATTCTAACATGAAATATAAAAGTCATTCACTATTTGAGAGAACCAGAAACTTAGTGAGATAGGAAAAAATAAAAACAATACCTTCCCTGTTAACTTAATTAAAATAAATTTATGTACCTTAGCAGTTCATTTTCACTTGGCCCAGTTCTCAGTAGATATAACATTAAAATTACTTTGCAAGAGTACAAGAATCCTGGACCAGTGCTAGAATTCATAATGTCTCCCAGGAGAGGCCCAGCCTTGGTAGTGTTCAGTGGGAAAATCTAAACCACACGGTTTTCATTGTCTTGGGCTTTGGCCTCTATTGTTGTCCTGCCTTTGCCACACACTTAAAATACAACAGATTTCTGTGTAACCATCAGGGCAACAAAAAGCTGTGAGCTCTCTGACAGCAAATGCTTAGAGCATGCTGACTTTTTGCAACACTGAAGCCTGGTGTCATGAGTAAAGCAAATGCTGTCATTGCAGTAAAAAAAAAAAAAAAAAAATGTTAAACAGAGACACTCATTTAATGTTTCTGCCAGTTACATGCTCCTCTGAGGAAAGCCTCTTGACTCAAACATAAAGTTTTTTATGAAGCTAGTCGCTGGCAGGAATAAGCAAGGCCATCACTGGAGTAAACCAGGCAGGACAGATCCTTATAGGGAGAATGTGCGACACACATCCGAAGGCAAAGGGAACTACTAGGGGCTCCGGGAGCATTGGCGCCCTGCAGAACCATGTGGTGTGCAATATTAGAGAGGAGGGAGAGAAGTGAGAAAAGTCCTCTTACTCATTAAAGTTCACTGTTTCAGAGTCTCTCTAGTTTAATATGACAAAAAGCCACGAAGCAGGTTGATTACTGATTTAACAGCTTACATAGTTTCCTTGTTTGTGCATTAGATTTGTTTTAATTCACAATGGTATCAAAATGCTGCGTAAGTTCCTGAATGCCTAAATTATACACAGTCAATGTAAAGAGCTTAAACTGAATTCATACTAACAGTGGCAAGTGAATACCAGGACCCTTCTAGCATAACTTATGGGGTATCCATGTAATGAGGTACAGCAAGTTAAAGCAAAAGGAGAAACAAAGAGCCCTAGTTGTGTACAGTGTATTCAAGGGTCTCAGATCCCTTAGTGTGTTTGGAGAAACAAACCACCTTGCTGAGATCTACTTACGCATAGAGCAACAAGGTGCTTCCCTCCAACCACCAGCAAGAAACTGCATAGTCTAATCTGACTGCAAGGACTAGATCTGCCAATAGACAAGGAAGTTCAAACCCAATCAAACTTTGGAGGAGACCACAGCCCCAGCCTGTACCACGGTCTCAGACTTTTTTTTTTTAATGTATTTATCCCTGTGGGACTCTGCTGGATAAGGTCAAAGTCTGACATTTCTGGATTACCTCTGTGCTCAGTCCATGATGGTAGACTCCCTTTTCTCTGTGGGGTTCTCTCCTAACCTGATTTGGTAACCCCAGAACTTGTAAGGAGCATCACATAGCCCTCAGGGAAGATTACAGGCCAGACCCTTTCCTAATAAGAACACCTGTTTAGCATGCATATGGGGCTTCCAGGAGATATTCACTGCATGCTAATAAGATGTCTTGACTTTCCACCAATGACCTTCAGTTGTACCTGGAGATTTTTCCCCACCCATAGGATGATTACTGTCTTCTCCTTCTTGTGATGGGACCATGCTACTGCATGTAAATGAGGTACTGTACCACTACATGTAAATTAAATATCCCTGGCATCCCTGACCCCAACAAATGAAACACATTAACCCTCGAAAGCCCTCCCACTGCCCAAGGTTTATAAATCCCTGATTTCACATGAAATAAAGGTGCTGTGTGCTGTGATACCATCAGTTTTCCACCAGGGCCACCTGAGACTGGTCATTTATTTTGGGGAAGGGAGGGCTCTGCTCCTCTTCAGAAATTTGCTGATGAACTCCCAGTGTTGGCTGCCAGCCAAACTGGCTGCCTGGCCAACCACCACGAGTTCACTGACCACCAGTGAAGCACCCACTGGGCCTAGAACTGCCTTCCAGGCTGCCAGGCCAGAGCCTAAGCAGACCTGCCTTCCAGCCCACTGGACCTGGGCATCACCAGACCTGTGTTTTGGCTGTAAGCTGATCAGGCATAGGCTTTAGCTGGTCCAGAGAGACCAGGAACCTCATTTCCATCCAGAAGCCTGGGCTTCCAGTGTGGTATGGTGTTCAGATTCTGACAGCTCTGTACGACACCAGGCAGCAGCAGCTCAAGGAAATGTCAGACCACCCAGGGCCCCCCCCACTGAACGAAGAATGACCACCTAGGCACCTGCTAAGCAGAGAATGACATATTCCAGGCGTAGTGACCCATACCTCTAACCCAAGCACTTGGAAAGCAGAAGCAGGCAGTCTCTGTGAGTTCAAGGCCAGCCTGATCTACATTCTGAGTTCTAGGACAGCCAGTGCTACATAGCAAGGCCCTATCTCAATTAGAAAAAATAAAAAATAAATAAAGTAGTATATAGCTATATGGGTGTGTATGTGTGTACATGTGTGCATCACATGATCACGTGGTTCTGGAGCCTCTAGAAGTCAGAGGAAGCCCCCTGGTACTAGGGTTGCAGGTAGTTGTGAGCAGCCACATAGAGCTGGGTTCCAAACTCAGGTTCTCTGCAAGAACAACAAATCCTGTTAAAACAGAACCATTTCTCCATCCCCTCTTCACAGATATTTAAGGCTG